CGGACCTGGGGCTACTTTGGTCAGAGTTTTCATAAACAGGGACGAATTGTATTGTGCCTGTCAGACCTCCAGTTCCAATCCTTTAAGCCGTGTTCACAGACTACCACAAGCAGCACGTGACTTCTCAAGGTGACTCTCTCCTTTAGCTGGCTTAGGTGTGGGTCTTAGTATTCGTAGGGCCAGGCTTCCTTCCAATTCATTAAGAGTCCGTGCCCAGCTTTCTATGGGTTCTGGGGATTTGAACTTGGGTTCTCATACCTGTGCAGCATTATCTGCTGAGCCATGCCACTAGGCCACCTTTCATGTGAATGGATAAGGCATCTGTCATGAAAAACAGATGAAAATGGGCAAACTTACAAAACTGGAGAGATGCCATGACAATCCAGAAATCATCGCCTGCACAGGAACTTGTTATTAGGACTGTAAATCATAACTAGCCAGGATTCTGCAGCAGTTACTCATGTAACCCTGTGAAGGAGCCCCACTCTCCGTCCATCCAGGGGCAGGGTCATTGGGGACAGACAGGTAGAGGTGTAGAGGGAACAGCAGAGCCAGGGCCTTGCCCAGGCAAAAGTTCAACAATCCCCTCCCAACCTGCGTACGTGTTTTCAGAGGGAACATAAAGACAGCTGAAAATTATCTCGCAACTATGAAAAGCTGATGCACGGAGAAGAAAAGTCAAACCACCGAGAATGTCTTCCTCCCCCTGGAGAGCGAACACACAACTCTGTCTGAACCGATTTCAGTTCTGTCCAACCGCAGCACGTCCTGCGACCTGTGGGAGTTCCAACTGCAAGGAGAATAATGGTGCTCTAGAGCGGTCTGTATACAGGAAAAACAGAAAGACGGGCTTGGGTGCATTTGCGTGGGCACCTCTCATGCCAATCCACCAAACCCACGCACAATCAGACTCCAGCTAGACACCCTTTGGGGTGGAAGGCTGAATGTAGACAGCCGCCCACTCCTGCTTGGGTGCCTGAAATAGACAGGAGCTGTGAGGAAATGCTCATCTGGCTCTCTGACTCTAACCCATGGGAATCTAGTGGCCAGTAAACTCAGAAGGATGGAGTGGCATGAGGCTTGGAGGGCAGGACTGTCCTTCTGTCCATCAGGCTTTTAAGAGGCGTGAATCAGCTAGTGAAGGAGTTTAATTATAATGTCCCCACAGCCCTACGCGTGCCTTTTGTTATCACCTCCATCTGAGAACATGTAGAGTGCTTGTAACTAATTTGGGGCAATAAAGTAGCATTCCTGGCACACCCTAAACACCATGTGAACGCTCAGAAAACAAGTCAGACCAAGGGTAAGAATTCTTTTACCCTTGTGGAAGAAGTGCGGAGACAGATTATTTTGTATTCTCCCCTCTCCTGGCCTCTGCCAATCTCCTGCAGTCTTTGCTTCCTACTCAGTGATCAGAAAAAACCAGCCACAGACCATGCAATGTGGCCGTGGCTCAGAGCCTCCAGCCTGAAGTCGAGAGAGGCCGTGGCTCGCTGATGGAGCCCACAGAGGCTGTGAACGGTAACCATGGGGAGTTTCACACTAAAGGAAAGTCAGGCCCTGCTTCTCAGGAAGCCTCTTGCCAAGTATAAAAAGTCTTTTTTTTTTTTTTAAGATAGGAATGGCTGTCACAGCAGAATAGTTTTGAAGTTGAGCAATTCTTGGAGAACTACAAATAGCAACCAAATGTCTTCTAATTATGTGCCAACGACATTCAGAAAGTTGCTGAAAATTCCCATTACTCTAGACTCTGTGGGCCTGCTTAGTGTGGGGACTCTGCACGTGTGTGCCCAGATATAAAGGCTCTCCTTCACAGATGGTCACAACACCTATCAATACCTTTTGGTACTTGTCTAAATAGATGGGAACATCTTAAAAATAAAAATGGATGAGGCAGTCGCAGAGAAATGGATTTCATTAGTGGAAGCAGAGGAGAAAATTAAATGTGGCTCAACAATTTGTACATAAGCAATTATGGTTAAAACTAGTATTAAAATATAATTTTGTTTTGTTTTTCGAGACAGGGTTTCTCTGTGTAGCTTTGGAGCCTGTCCTGGATCTCGTTCTGTAGATGTTTTTTAACTGGTTACATTTTTATACTTAATTAAAAGTTTTATGAATATAACATGAATGTCATACAAAAAGAGAAGACATAGATGTATCCAAAAGTTTTATATTGGCGTCTGTTAATTGTACAAAACAATGAGTTTCATTGTAACATTTTCATACTTGAATATAAGGTAGAATAAAAATTAGAATCCATTAGATGTGGCTTTCATAGGACGGCAAGAGGCTGTGCATGGCTCCATGGCAGAAAAGTCACCAAAAATCTTACCCAGCTGTGAACCCTGTGAGCTATGACCTATGAGCAGCAAGATGTGCCCGTGAGTGCTACAGTGGCATGAATGCTGTGGGAGTAACCAACTGTGCTTCGTGACTGGCTTCAAGGCTCACTCCACAGGAGGAAATGCACGCCTGGTGTGGAATATTCCTTTACACTGGGTGAATATTTGTCACTGTGGTTGGCTTAATAAAGAAGCTGACTGGACAACAGAAGAAGTTGAACAGGATAAGGTTAGGTGGGAGGGCCAAACTGAGAATGCTGGGAGGAAGAAGGGCAGAGTCTGGAGTCTTGAGCAGACGCAGAAAGGTGTGCCATACTGAGAAAAGGTACCAAGTCACATGGTAAAGCACAGATAAGAAATATGGGTTAACATAAACGTAAGAGTTAGTTAGTAACAAGCCTGAGATATTGGTCAAGCATTTGTAATTAATATTAAGCCTCAGTGTATTTATTTGGGAGTGCTATGGGACAGAAACTTCTGCCCACAGCCTGCTACTGTAAATCTGGCTGAAAAATCATGGCTGGGAGCTCATAGGCTCCATGGGAGAATTTACTGTTACTCTTCTGCTAAATGGACACAGTACCATATTGCCTATCAAATTTGTATCTCTATACTCATAAATTAGTGCAGTACTCAGACCTTACCAGAGAAGTTCAGTGGACATTAGTTAAAGCAGACACTCACAAACTGGTCAAAAGGCATAGATTAAATGTCTGTGGGGTGTTCAGCCATCAATGGGACATCTATACCCTACTCCTTCCCCAGAAGGAGGAGGAGGATATGGCATGAAGTTAGGAGGGGTGGATGTAGGGGGAGTTACGGAAAGGAGTGGAGAGGTGAAAATGATCAATTTTCACATATGTATGTATGTATGAAATTCTCAAAGGATTAATAAAAATATTGTATTTTCCTAAAAGGAAAAAAAAATCTGTCAAATGTGGTAGTGCATGCCTGCAATCCCAGTATTTGGAGATGGAGGCAGAAAGATCAGGAATTCAAGATCATCTTTGGTTACATAGGGAGTTCAAGGCCAACCTGGGCTTACATGAGACCCTGTCTCAAATATATATGTATTTCTCATTTTGGTAGAGCTATGGCCACACAATGGAGCATGTTCCCAAGCTGCATGGCTTGAGGCAAGTGGAAGCCATTTCAGAAGAATCTGTTTCAGTTTCCTTAAACTAAACAATTGAGAGTATTAGATAAAGCAAAAGAGAGAACAAAAACCCAGGGGTCAGAACACTGGCATCTGCCCTCACCTGTCAGTAGAGGGCTTGAGTGACCTTGAGTATGACCTTGAGCCTCAATTTCCTACCTAGCGAAACAGATAGTTGACCTACAGGACCTCACCAGTGCATCACGGGAGCACAGCCTCTCCCACCACAGTCCCGTTCCAAATGTCATCAGAGGAATTCTTCTAAGGGTTTACTAACATATTTTAAATTAAGCCCTGCTAGAGGATGGGGGGGGCCCGTCCCACCCAAGGTGGCTCTTTCAACAGTGTCCAACTGTTTCTCTGAGTAGAGTAGGAAGAGCAGTGAGAGACCTGAGACCACACCACAGCCCTAGCCATGTCTTAGAACTATCTACTGGGCTCCTTACTAGGCTGCTGCCCCCTAGTGGTAGGTCCTAGAAACACACTTGTTCAATGTCTTGTCATGTGTACATACTATATTTTCTTCTTTCCTCCCAAAGGTCAAAGTCCAGCCCTTATGCAGATGGTCAGGACATTCTTATTTTTAGTAAGTGGAAGATTTCCATAGAAATGGGAAGATTCAGGTTCTCTGCTATAAACTGCGTAGGATCTGTCCAGAATAGAACATTCTGCCCTTACTCTTAGGTACTAGGACTCAGAGAGCTAGAAGGGGGTATTATTCCAGGTCTCCCGAGGGCTGTCAAAAATCCATAAACACTAAGGTACAAACTGGGCTCATTTCCTGATACTCAGGAAAGAGCTGAAACAGCTTCCCATTTCAGTCCCCAAGGCTCAGAATATATTGACTTACAATAGTTACTAATTGATCTGTCCAACATCATTCCCAGTTCATATGTTCATAAAGAGCCTATTATGGGGGCATTCTCTCTGGATTCCCATAGGTTAGATGAAATCTCATCATAAAGAATTTCAAATTCACTGGCATACGTATACTGTCTCCCCACACTTACTTAGGCGTTGGCTTCCACATGAGCCTTCTCTGATTGCCCCACATACAGAAAACCTTATCTTACACTCTGGTTTTCTTCACATATTGGGTATTTTCTGTGGGAATATGTCCATGTGCTTTCACTAGAAAGCAAACTTCCTGAGGGTGAGAGAATTCATTTTGCTCAAGGTTATATCTTCAGTTTGAAGGATGACACATATTTTGGGTAGTCAGTAAATATCAAATAAATGCAAAGTTTCATAATTATTTCCCTTGCTGGCTGTCAAAATGGACAGCCTGATGTCTATTCCATTTGGGTCTTTTTGATACAATGATGATGCTTCTCTGCCTGGGTTTTAGGAAATACTGCATGATGTTTTTCCATAGGGGAAAATGCCCTAGATAGGAATACACTTGGTGTTAGCGAATAGGATTTTCAAAAGGAAGGCATCTTCCTGAGCTCCCTTTGAACCACAAAGGTGTTTCTGTTAGTGGCTGCTGGGACACTTACTGCTTGAGCAGGTGGCTTCTTTGGGGCTGGAAGACATCGGCTGTGCACAAAGTTGACAAAGACAGTCTCTCCCATTGAATGTGACTCGGTCTCCGGGTGGAAACGGGCGCCTGGAGACAGAAAGACATTTGCCCTCAAAGTCATTCCAGCAATTTCACTCTCTTTCCCTACTCCTTTGCCCGCTCCCCCTCGGGTGCAGATTGATTTCTTGGAGGAGCACCAGCCTGAATGCTTGAAATGTAGCCATGCCCAAGCCCGCCAGCTGGTCACGGGCCAAACAAACACACGTGCTGCATTATGAGATGAAGAGAGAAGCTCCCTGGTTGGGTAGTAGCATGATCTAGTGCCATTCTGCAGTGGAGGAGTGTCTGCACAAACCACCTCTCAGGGCCCACAGAGCAGCGACTTCCACAAGGAAATGCTTCACACACACACACACACACACACACACACACACACACACACACACACACACACACAACATTTTAAATGCCATGGATTCCCACTGAAACTTGGGACACATCCCTACAAGAACGGCTTACAGGAGAAACAGGAGCCTTTTTGGTCCCCTGTGGTTTTTGATAGCTATACTGAGTTAGATTTTGTCCTTTTTGGACATCTGAATTTGCAAAGCACTGCCCAGTCTCTCCTAAGCTACAAGTGATAGGACAGGCTGCTATAAACATCTGTGTGAGAACCAGTAGCCTGGAGAGATGGCTCAGTGGTTAAGAGCACTTGTTCTTGCAGAAGACCCAGGTTCAGAGGTTCCTAGTATCCCCACGGTCACTCACAGCCATCTGTAACTCCAGGTTCAGGGGATCAATGCCCTTTTCTGACCTCCACAGGCACCAGACATGCACATGGCACACTTACATGCAGGCAAAGCATTTATACACATAAAATAAAACAAACTTAAAAATCAGTATCAGTCTCCTTTTCAGAAAGGACAGTTCCTTTCCTGCTAGACACTCAGTACCCAGCACATGCTGCACCTTCTGCAGGAAAGTTAGCTCTCCGCGCCTGCTTACTTGCAGCAAGCTAATTTACCAATCGCTTTTCATCAATGTGAGTTTTCTAAGTGGGACTTTGTCGATTAGGAAATGTGGAACTCACTAGATGAGAGAACGTGAATGAGTCAGAAGCCGGCAGTCTGGTGCAAATCCAAGCTTCCTGACCTGCATGTACTTTCACAGCCCCTTAACTCACCTCTCCAAGGCCTCACGCTGGTAACTGACCATAATAAACACTCACAGGCACATCTGGACTTAATACCACAAGTATGATTGGTACCAGTCATCAAGTGTGTATGGGAATATTACAGTCTCACACCTTTGAATGTTAAAAGTCCTTGGGAGACCAGTGGCTCCCTCTCTGAAGTGGTACCGTTTCTTTCACTGGACAGATAAAGAAGCCACAGGCAGGGACCCACAGGCAGGGGCAGGCTTCATCAACCCAACCTAGAACTATGTTAATAAGAAAAATTACATTCTGGTGCTGCTGCAAGAGGGTCCCTTGCTTCACACTCATTCACTAAACCTGAACAAGCCTCTAGTCCATTCTCCTAGGAGAGTATAAACACAATAGAGCAAGCATGGGTTCTTTGGTCTCCACTCAGGGACAGGACCTGGGTGAGGCAAGCAAGATCCTTGGGGCACTGTCCACAGCTGAGCCAGTGTTCTTGTGAGGCCCTGACAACAAGTGTGCATTTACATGCAGTACCCCGCAAGTGTAGCTGAGTAGACCTTGCCTGAGTCTAGACCCCAATTCCATTCATTGCAGATCCTCTATGGTACCAGCAGCCAGATTCTGTGTGCCCAGTCAGAGAGTCAAAGGCACCTTCCTGTTATAACACAATAGTACATTTCCTCCCATGCCAGCCCCCTTCCCTCAGACTGATCATTTTCATTAAGCTGTGCTATACAGACACCTAGCCATCAGCGATCGTGTCTCTTTAGGCTTTGTAGACCATTTGGTCTCTGTCATAATTCCTCAACCCTGCCACTGTACCTAACAGAAGTTCTAGCCTTATGCAAACAAATAGTCAATAAAACTTTCTTTAAAAGAAAGACCTACAGCCGGGAATAGTGGTGCACGCCTTCAACCCCAGCACTTGAGAGGCAGAGGCAGGCGGATCTCGCCGAGTCGAGGCCAACCTGGTTTACATGGTGAGTTCCAGGATAGCCAGAGCTGCATAGTGAGACCCTGTCTCAAAACAAAAACAAAAAACAAACAAACAAACAAAAAACCCAACAACAAAACAAATCCTAAAGACTAATGATTTGACCCATGAGCCATTGCCAAACTACAGTAAAGATACATTTCATTTTCAGAAAGAGGCAGTCCTGCTACATTGGCTAGGCTGGTCTTGGGCTCAAGCAATCCTCCCCCTCCCTCTTCTGAGTGCTGGGACTATGGGTCCATGCCTCAATGCCCAGCTAGAAGAGCCATCTGAAGCATGCCCACGCAATCACCTGCACTTCCCAATGAGCCTTTTCCTTCCAAGCAACTGTCCCTGTCCCTTTTCCACTGTGTTGTCTTTACTCAAACTGTCTGGAAGTCCCTTCAGGCATGAGGTACAGCCACTTAACACCTGTCACATCGATTTACAGAGGATACGAATAAAGTTTTCCAACTGTACTGCACTTTAACCAAAAATGAATAGACAGCAAGAAGATCTGTTGGGCAGGGGCTGTTTAAGACCTTGTACCACCCAGGACCACTCAGGACCAGAGGAGGCTGTGAGATGCTTTGGCGGCTGAAGCCAGCATTTTTCTGTTGGAGCGAGCCGGAGGCTTAGGAAAGATGGCCACTTACTTGCAGATGGTACAGGCAAAGCAGTTGGGATGGTAGGTCTTGCCCAGGGCAGTGACCACCTCGCCCTCCACGAACTCCCCACAGCCGTGGCACCGTGTCCCATACATCCTCTGGTAGTCCAGGGTGCACAAATAGTCCCCGTTCTTTATGAAGAAGCCTCCTTGGGCCAGGTCGCAGCCGCACACTGTAGAAAGACAAGTTCACAACTGGTCATTGCCTGCCAAATTTCTGGGCAGCGTTTGCCTTCTTGCCAGATGCTGGTGGCTCCCTGTGCTCTCGGCAGTTCTGGGGTAGGGGAGGGGACTGTCACAAAGAGCTATTTATTACCAGGCTTTGCTTTTTCTGCTGCCCCCTCCCCCAGGAGCTATGCAATATCTCATACAAGTAAAATCCACTGGCTGGGTCTCAATGGCCTCAGTGGTATGTCTAAGATTCAGCGCCAATCAGTCAGTCTTTGATGGAAAGATATGCTGCATTTGGGCTGTCTTGGATGCCAATCAAGGTGTCCCTGGCAATGCCATTAGGAAAGGTGCCCACAGCTTGTCCACACAGCTACCTGATTTGGGCCAAGATAGTTGAGTAATAAATTCCTGCTATAGCAACAGCAGCAGCTGAAGTTTCCAGTGACTGTTTTCTTACACTGTGGAAATACTTCCCCTAAGCAGCCAGGGCTTGCACTGTCTCTGTGTATGGCAAATGGGACACACGGATCCTGTGTATGTCATATAGGGGGAATGAAAATGGGTAGGCCAGAGAGGGACGAAAGGGGACAAGTCCAACAGAAAACCATCATTCGTGATCTCAGGACATGCAAAAGAGGACACTTGGCTGGGTCTGGGTTTTGCAACCCTTTCCAGACTGTACAGCTGTGGATGACAGATGTGGTGTAGAAAGTGGTGATGCCAGGGACCTGGGACTAATCTGCATGTTCAGACAAAGCCCAAGCAGGTCACAACTTGTCCACCAATAAAGCCTAGAGCAATAACAGTTATCTCCTGCCAGATGCCGGGGAAGGGACAGCCAAAGCTGGGCTCTCCAACCTTAGCTTCTGCATCCCAAGGTTAGGTGACTCCCCTAGGAGGAAGGGCCGCCTCAGGAAAGCATCTACAATCCTTTCTAATTTCTTATAAATAGGTAGAGCAGACCCTCAGGCCAGGAGAAAGTGAGCTTGGTCATTACACTGCCCTCCTAGGGGTTTGCAAGAACACAAGGTTACTCTGATTAGTTCCCGTGATTCATTAATAGTCTTAAAATGAGTGGGGTCATATAACTGAAGGTGGGGTTGCAAAAAGAAATTAGAAACAATGAAACTTTTCTGAACATGAGGCAGAGGCATGTGGGTCTTTGAGTTCAAGGCCAGTCTTGTCTACAGATTGAGTTCTAGGACAGCTAGGGCTACACAGAGAAACCCTGTCTCAATCACTCACACACACACACACACACACACACACACACACACACACACACACACACACACACACACATTCATGAACATGTAAGAACCAAAAATAAATTCAAAATCAAATGCGCAGTGAGTCTGGGATGGCAGTCACCCATGGTGCAGTGTCAGACTTCCCCGTAGTCTTGAGTCTGAACAAGATAGATGCACTTTGCCAGTGCCTGCCATTAGCCACACTGGTCAAACACACACTGCATGACACAGCTCTGCTCAGGTTCACAACTACGCATATCAGGGATTGTAGTGGTTCTTACTGTGCATACAATGTTTTCTGCTCTTACAGAAATATAATGGTGTAATCATGGAAAATAAAGACATTTTCCTACTGTCATTATTCAGCATTTAAGTATCAAATTAGTATATCTTTAGACCAAACTGTTTTAGAGTGTTTGTTTTGTTTTTAATTCCTGATTCAGTTGCTGACTTGATTTTCACAAAGAGCAACCCTTAAATGAATTTTGGTTTGACATTAGGACAGAATCTCCAATAACTTCTGAGATGGCTTTAAAGCACACTTCTGCCATTTTGTGCTGTGTATTTATGCAACGTGGCATTCTCAGCACTGATGACTATAAAATCAAAACATTGATGAACTCTGAGAAACACTGAAGATGCTCTTTGTCCTGCAACTCAAACGTTCAGCCAATATTTAATTCTTTATGTAAAATATAAACAAGCATACTAGCCTATTAGTATACAAATTCACTTTAGACTTCAATAAATGGTAAAAATATATGTATAACAATTGTTTTAAAATATATTTCTTTATGATTAATTATCAGTAAATGTTTGATGTATGTACTTATTTTAAACTTAGCTACTCAGAGTAGCATAAAAATTTCATAGGTGTTAAGGGTTCAAAGTAGGAAAAGGTTAAGAACTGGGGTCTAATGAAGCAATGTTAGCACAGTGAGATCATGACCTCAGTAACACCCCCACCCCCATCAGTCAGGATGACACAGAAACCACAAACAAGCTTTCCATGAGGACTCACTGGTCCTTGTTTAGACCGAAGCTTCTGGCTTCCTTCTTGAAAACTGTAACTAAGTAAACTAAGCTGATGGCCAGGGACCATTTGCTGGAAACCACGCACCCTATAAATAATGCTGTGATCACATTCTCAGAAGGGCTTTCTCCTCCTATAACTGTGGGCATCTCTTCCTGCATCCAAGGTTCTCACACCAAGAGCTCAAGGACTAGCCTAGTTCTGACTACAAATTCTTACAGCAGAGATCATCCTTGGCAGGTGGGGTAGGTAGGAGTCATCACAGAATGCTCAGAAAGTCATCCTTAGGGATTTTTTAGGTATGCACCTTCAAGATGGCAGGGCACTTTATGGCCAAGAGTCTTTATCGGTACTCTTTTGGATTCTTTCTTCAGGAACTTGCAAACACGGCGTCTAATATAATACAGAGAATAATACAGTATAATTAAGTTGAATCCCGCCTCATACTTGGCAAGTTCCCACCAATTCCACTTCTGGGAGTCATCGGCAATTCTGATGACTCATTTGTTCCTTTAAACTTGTTTCTCATAGCTGTGAGAAGTGGCAGTGTCCTCAGACTCCTCATCCCCTTAGCTCTCATCCAGTCACCTGGGCTGGGAATAAAAATCACAGATGCTTCATGAAAAGACCAAGGTGACCTTCGTGCTAACAAAGACCACACAGCCCATTTCAGAGCTAAACGGAACCCTTTAAAAGTCCTTTCTGCTTACTATTCCCATGGGGGTGCCCCTTTCTCTGGCTGGCTGGCATGGTTTTGTGAATTGGACACAAAATGGACAACTTTGAGAACCTAACACAGCCTTACAAAACGACTTTGCAGAGCAGTTGAGAGATGACAAACTTTTTGTGACTCCATCAGCTTTTCTCTGAAATTCTAAGCCAAGCCACTTTACCCAACAGCTATAGCAATGCTAATGGCGGCTTGGCTAATAAGACAAACTGTTTACGGGGGCAAGAGTCTACAGCACACACAGCAGGTTGGGAGAGGAAAAGTCCATGCAGCTGAACTTAGAAGCTACTTAGCATCATGGCATCACCTAAGATGGGGATAGTGGTGACACAACTGAAGTCTCTTATTTTTTTATCTCCTCCTCCTCCCTCTGTTCAGTCTCCTCCTCAAGGACCCTAAACACAGGGAACTCCCAGACACCATTTCCTTCCCCATAGATCACAAGGTCTCCCTGGGAACAGACCTCTACCTACGTCGACTTCAGTGATCTCTGTCCATAGCAGTGGTTCTCAACCTCCCTTTAATGCAGTTCCTCCTGTTGTGGTGATCCCCGGCAATAAAATTATTCTCATTGCTGCTTCATTACTGTAATTTTCCTATAGTTATGGATTGTTATGTAAATATCTGATATGCGATCTCTGTGAAAGGTCATTTGACTGCAAAGAGGTCTTGACCCATAGGTTGAGAACTGGTGGTCTATAGTTTGTGACCTGCAAGCTTTAGACCATGGTTGTAACTGACAGACAGCATGCCCACCTAAAATGCAGCCTCTTCCAGCAGCCCTATCCTCTCAGCTCCTCTGTGGTACTTCCACCCTGTAAAAAGGCTCCTGAGAGAGAGACACTTTTGTTCCCTGTCTCAGTAAGTCTCCAGCAGCGTCCATTCTCACTCTCTTACACCAACATTTTCAAGCAGCCAGGCTAGTTCCCCAGTGAACATCCTTGGGATCCATCCCTCTCTCTACCTTATTGCTGTAGCATTGCCCTCCTGCAAGGAAGCAATCTCATTGATTGATTGATTGATTGATTGATGGTTTTGTGAGACAGAGTTTCTTTGTATAAGCCTTGGCTGTCCTGGAACTCACTCTGTAGACCAGGCTGGCCTTGAACTCACAGAGATCTACCCGCCTCTGCCTCCCGAGTACACCACCACCACCTGGCGGAAGCAGTTTTATTGAAACAGTGCTTGTCTTGTCAGGAAAAGAATTCACTGAAAAACCCGGGACAGCCCGAGTCCCCACCAGTGGAGCAGACAGACAGCAAATCAGGGTTCAGTGAGTCAGGGGGCCGGCAGTACAGTGCGTTAGACTAGTCATCGCTGGTGATTTACCACTACGTGATAAGAACAAAGGTCACAGAGTAAAGAACTTTAAGAACTTGATGTTTAGAGACCTCTACACATGTTTTACATAAGAGAGAGCTCACAAATCAGGGCTATTACGGTGACTCTCTCAGGAAGGTGAAGAAGAATTAACTTTCATACACCTGCCAATCGGCCCTTTTAAAAAATTTCCTTTTAGTTGTGATAACATGCATAGAACATCTGATCACAACCTTAGTCATTTTTAAGTGGATAATTCAGTGGCGTATGTGCATCCACACGGTTGTGGTAGCATATTCCATCCATCCACAGGATTCGGGGAAAGGACCTCCTTTTGGAAAGCTGAAACTCGGTGCCCATGAAGCAAGAACACCTTTCCTGGATCCCTCCAGTTCCTTGGACACCCCCACTCTGCTCCCTGCCTCAGTGAACCTAATTTCTTACACATTTAAGATAATAGTGTATTAAGAACTTGGGGTGGGGGCCTGGGGAGACAGCTCAGCCATTAAGAGCACTGTCTGCTCTGCTAAGAGGACCTAAGTTCAATTCCCAGCACCCACATGGAACCTCACAACCATCTCTAACTACAGTTCTGGGGGATCCAGTGTTCTCTGTTGGCCTCTGCAGGCACCAGGCACACATGTGGTACACAAACATACATGTGGGCAA